AGAGAGAGAGAGAGAGAGAGAGAGAGAGAGAGAGAGAGAGAGAGGAGAGAGAGAGAGAGAGAGAGGAGAGTCGCATAAACGTGTTTAGTTAAGTAGATGCATAAAACGCGGGGGATATCCCGCGAGTGGTCATCCCCGAGAAATGCTACGGATGAACGGCCACTCACGTACAGGGTGAATCACAATTATGCCGCCAGACCGTTTTGCCTCGAACACGTGAAACGTAACGGGCGTAAGGGATTAGTGAAATGTAAGAGATCGCGCCGAGGGAATGTTTATGCATGGATCGTGAGCACCGCGAAAGGCGCGGTACTTTCGCATACTTCCGGTGCTTTCGTGAGAAAAATCTTCGTCTCAGAATATTAAACTTAATGTGGAGATAAAAAGATTACGAAATATTATAATATGTTATAATATTAATATTTTTCCGAGCCACTTCACCTAATATTACTTATAACTGTAAAATATTAAACTTTAAATAAGATCTTATTTAAAAAAGAGTAGCCATTGTTAAAGATTAAAAGATCAATATAGAAATTTCTTTTTAATCCGCGTTACTTATCGGAATATTTCTGAAAATAGTCAACGATCGAACATTTTGACGTGTTAATTACAATGCAAAATTAATGCATCATTATGCTTCATCCCGACAGCCTTTTACGTGCATATATCGTTAATTCCGAGTTTTCCTTTCCTCAACTTCGCGGCACCTCGGAGCTCGCTTGGTATCGAGAGCGGATTCCCGGACTTCCACTCGAAGAGATCCAGGCTGACGGACTTACGGACATCCTACGAGGACTTACCGGTAACCACGAGCCTGGCGTACGAGGAACTTTCCACGGTATCGCCGGTAACGTGGTGTACAGTGCGGCACCGGTAAGTCGAGTGAGCATCGGCGGGAGTCACCGAGAAGACGAGCAGCTCTCCTGTGGGCAGCATGTGGTGTTTCTCGCCTGCAGACAGAAACAGCAATAACGTCAGTATTTGCGAAATTGCTCGCAAAAACCGAGGAATGTTTTGCGATTAGAATTTCAGTAAAATATATAAAATTTCGACAGACATTATTTCGACAGACAAATACGTATAATTTTTTTTATTTGAAATAAAAAGATTTTTCTTTCTGGAATTTCGAATAATGATAAATACGGCACCAAGCGGAAGAGAGATGATTATATCTAATGCGGTTTTACAAAAAACATCAAATTAGGTGTACGAGACAGAATTACTGCAATATAATTTATTCTAATATAAATTATATTACCACGTATACAGAGTTGGAAGTTTGAATAAATTTTACGATGATTAATTTTCTATAATTAATAGACGTGTACATTGCACCTGAAAAATGGGACGGAATTTAAAAATTCGGAAACCGCGGAGGAAAAATTATTTTCAAATTCACCCGCTTTTCTCTAAAGCGCGATATGAAATCCACGAAACACTCAGTGTGACGCATTTTTCATCGACTCGGCTCTCTCATTCTTTCTCCCCGCATTCACGCCCGTCGTCTCCGTCGAGGCTTCCATTAATATGGAAATTTCTTTAATGGAAAAGTGCGCGAACGAATTCTCCCTCGTGCGCGGAAGCGGCCGGCTATAAAAATTGCATCGCGAGAAACAATAGTAGCCGCGGAGAAAATGAGTCGCTAGACTGGACTACTCGTAATGAAGTGCCGCCTCCGTTTAAATGGACGATCAGCAGGGCGACACCAACGCTCGACACGCTGGAACGCAAAAGGGAAAAAAATATCGGAGCGCGAGAATCGATACTCGTAAAAATTCGAGCGTAACCGCTGGAAACGGCGAGAGCGTGCCCGCTAACGCACTCGATGGCTTAAAACGGTGGATGCTCCGTTAAAAAAAAAAAAAGATTAACGCCTCTCGAGTGAATTCCACTGACGATCGTTGTTGCACGCGCTCGTGCCTCCCATCGTATCCTCGAGGATGAAGCATCAACGAAATTATTTAAGAGGATTTTAATAGGCAATCGGATCTCCTTCTACAGATACATCCCTTTACCTTCTCTTTCTTTTATTAAGTACAAAATAGCGTTGTATGCGCAACTAAAAATGCAAAGAAGCAGAAACTCGATATCGAGAGTTTTCAACGACGGTAATTTGAGTCATTGTTAATAATTTTGATATAAATACACGATATAAATATACGATATTTGATATAAATATACGAAGCTGTTTTCGCTGTTTTCGATATATATCATATAAGAAGCATGTCTGATGTCTTGTATTAAGCATTAATGAATATTTCAATAATAACCTGATAATTAACGCTCCGAATACACAAAATGAAAGCATGCGAAATGTAAATATATTGTCTCTCTCTTTTTCTCTCTATTAATGCAGCTGTCTGTAGTATTTAATAAATAAATGGCACACATTTGCACACGTGGCAAAATATAAACGCAGTCAATAGCTTGTTATTTACATTCAAATACTCTAAAAAATGCCTGCAAAAACATCCAACAAACACGTGTGTTTATTCCGTATTCACGGAATAGAATTATTACATACGATCCTTATTGAAAAATTCATCTAAAAAAGAATATTAGGGATAAACGAAATTAACGCTTTTTACGTACATTAATTAACCGCATATTGCGTATAGTATAAAAGTGTTTGATTTCCATTGAAAATTTGTATAAAATTTGTATAAAATGTATTTTACTGCGGTAGAAAACGCTGAGTAAAATTTTCATTCCAGAATTCTAACATGTTTGTCCTCTGCGATAGCGTTAGTAATATACGGTATATATTACAAACGCAATAATGATTATGCAATCGCACATAATTACACATACATGATATTAATCGCAATTAATATCACGAAATTTCGTTAATTGCTCGCGAAGCGTGTTTATGAATAACCGAAGAAAATGTGTACTAATATAGCGAGAGAGAGAGAGAGAGAGAGAGAGAGAGAGAGAGAGAGAGAGAGAGAGAGAAAGAGAGAGAGTGAGATGGGGGGAAGAAGGGAGGGAAGGGAGAAATGCCATAATGAATTAATTTCCTGTCAGATTGGTTGGATGGTCGATAGAACATGTCGGGGTTGGATTCAGATATGCTGACGTTGAATACTCGACAATGAACGAACGTTAATCAAACCCCGTAGGAATTTAATAGACCTATATCGAGGAAGGGTAATTCTTCGCAAGGGTGATTCTTCAGCATACGAAGTATTTTCAGTTGTCTTTCTTGCAATATGACGGCTACTTCAGCTCCTTCGTTTCACCGATCCCGCATTCTTCATTCCCCGCATTATGGGAATTAACGAAAGCGCGTAACACGAAGAACACTTCGCTATCGGAAAATTTTAATTTCTCTCGGTAAACAATGCGCGGAATGTGTTGTAGAGAGTCCCGATGCGCATTTTGTTTGCGTAATATTTTTTGCGATAAATAAAATTTATATCACGCCCTTCTTCGTTAGTTTCATTTACCCTCGTAAATAAAATTGTTTCTGGAGATATGAGAGCGAGTTATCCTTTTTTATTAAAATTCACACCGGGACACCGCGATGCGGGTTATCAACGGATTTATACGAAAACGTTACACGGTCTTCGTTCAACTTACAGTAGGTTTCGTTAATTATTGTTACACCCTTGGATCTTTACTTTCCGGAACGTTAAATAATAATATCAAAAATATCGCTCGGCTGAAATCTCTCGCAAACGAACGACTGTGTGTCTGTCAAAATATACGCTTCGGTGATTCTTGACGGGTTTCGTATCTGCAACGTCTATCTGTTACGGGCGTTTAGGCCGATATCCGTGCGATCTGGATGCAAGCACGTCTTTTCGCATCGCGCGACGCAATTTAGAGACCCAGCGGACGGAAACGCGGTAAATGAGAGCCGCCGTCCAATAATATTTTTTTTGTCCCCTCGGGTTGGAAATTCACTGCGGTCGCGATTACTCGCATTTTTTCCACAGACGCGTTCGGAGAGGCGCGTGTGTATATGTGTATGTATATATATATATATGTATATGTATATGTATATGTATACCACCGCGGCGCGACGGCGGTGTTTTCCGCGTCCGTAAGCACGTCGGCCGCGTGCACGCGTGACTCCGTGGAAAAATGCATCGCGCGAAAATACTTCACGATCTCTATCTTCGCGCTCGCCCGTTTTTCTCCCCCCTCCGTCCCTTCTCTCTCCCCGCCCTTCCCATCGCCCCCGCATCTACGACATTCGAAACGAGTGCATTTTCCGCCGATGCGTCCGCAGCCGCGCCGCGCCGGCAATGTCAATATTTCGTTGTTGGCGCCGCGAACATCCTCGCCGCGTGTGCACGTTTATAACGGGGGAAATTGCGCGGAATTCCAGCCGTTGAAATGCGTCCGGGGGAGGAAGAGGGGCCAGGGAGGTGCGAGCAGGAATGCACGTAAGTCTGGTTACCTTAAGATCGGCTCGCGGCGGTGCAATGGTGGCGCAATGGCGGTACCGCATACCGGCGGCGCCAGCTGCATACGGCGATGAATGCCGGCCGTATTGCCACCCCCTCCCTCCCCCGTAAGAGGGAAAGAGGTAAGAGAAATGGATGGGCGACCATGGAGAAAGGAGAAAAGCGATGGAACGGCGGGGGAGGGAGGAGGGGGCAATGAATCGATCGTAATAAAAATAACTCGAGCGCGAGAGATTCTTCGGCGTTTTGTCCGCTCATTGTGCGCCGCACCGGAATGATTACGCGCAGCGATCGTGCCCCGTCCTGGACGAGAAATAGTTGGCATACTTAAACGGGATTCAACGTACGGATCATATAGGAATGTTAGGATCTATCTCGAGTCTATTGATAACCGGCAAACAACTAAGGTTAATGTAATTGGGTCGATGCTAATGCATTTTGTTGTATTTATAAACATTTCCATCTTGATCTTAGGATTTGATAATACAAAATTAATTAGTTACAGTTCATTTATAGGTAAAATGTTACTCAATACTTTAATTATTATATGTATAAAACTTTAGTTATTTTATATATATATTCTTTTTATAAAAATAAATGCATTTAAAGAAATAATTATGAGAGCGCTATTATATATAATTCTCCGAAATTTATAAAATACAGTAATTTATTTATATCAAAATGTTTTAAAAATAATATATTTATAAAACTATGTAATGTGCATACATAATATCTTATTTACGTATATAATTATATATACATTTTATATATTCATAAAATGCATGTATTACATAAAATTTATTATTAAAAACAAGAATGCAAAAATTTATGTAATTATGCTGCGGCTAACTAAGTGTAAATAAAGTATTAGTTTATCTGGAGTGTAAAGAAAGTAATTAATTTTACGAAAAATAAATAAAATAAAATAAATATTATATTTGATACAAATAATTAATTAACTTTTCTATTAAACAATTAAAATATGTTGTTAATAAAGAAAACTTGTAATAAAGTTTGACCATATTAATATGGTCAGATTTTACTTTTAGCGAGACGTATTTACTAAAATTCATATATACAATATCCACAATACCATCATGATTAAACTAATATCAAAGCAATTTAACTGGTACTTCAAGACAAAGGGCGAGGAGAAGCCTCGCTATGACCAACTAAAATCCCTGCCCGTTCTCAAGAGAGGCTGTAGTTAAGCTACGAAATTCATGTGCAAATACATTTCGCGCTAATAAAGGTAATGGACTATATTCAAGAGTTTGCGACGAATCATCGTGGAAACATCGACAACGATCGGAAATCATCTATTTGGCTGATGGAACGATATTCCGTTCATGTTGAAAACGAACTGCAGGAATATTTTTGAAATGGCCAGACGTCGAATAAATGCGAACGTATTGGCGTATAAATGAATTGAAAAATCGAGGCTAAACAGGAAACAAAAACTTTACTGGCGATCTATTCGGCGTAATGAGACCACAAAATTGTTCGAAGGCAAACTTATGAAAGAATATATGATA